ATCAGACTTGAAATTTTCTAGGCTGCTGGAGGACTCACCCTGCAGAACTAACAAAGGAACAGATTCTTAGGTCCCCTTACCTTTACAGACCCCATTTGAGTGGAGGAACTAGGGTGGTGAGTGGGACGGGAAAACGAACAAAGTAAACAAAAAAAAAAACTTAAATCTTCTTTATCTCTACGCTGCATTGGTGGTTTTCTCCAGCCATCAGGAAAAGAGAAAGTAAAACAATGCCGACCCCAAAATAAAGAGAGCAAAAACAGTTGCATTTTCTTTCCACAGGCCCCAATAATACGAAAGGAAAAAAAAAAAGGAAATTTTCATCTACAGTCCACATTACTACATACGCCATATATATTCGACCTGATGAGAAAAACAAGAAAAAGAAGGAAACTTCAGAACGTTGTTGATATCAACAACAAATTGAAAAATCCGGTAACATAAAAACAAAACAAAAGGAAAAAAAGATTAATAATAATAATAATAAAGAAAAAAAGGAAGAAATCAGTGGCACGGCATCAGAAAACAAACACCTAAAGGACAAAAAAAACGCCCATTAACAATCAAACATACGAACACAAGCAAGGAAGAAACGTTGAAGAAAAAACAAACAAAAAAAAAGAAAATAAAAAACGAGAGAGAGGACTAGATAAAAGCAAATATATAGATGGACAGATATGGAAACGCAAATGCATATAGAAATACATATATATATATATATATATATATATATANACAATAATAACAACAGGTTTTTCACTGCCGTCTCTATCTATTCAATAGTTGCGGTGTAAATACGGGGTTGTGGGCGTATATATATATATATATAATTTGTGTCTTTTTATTGTTTTTATTATTGAGTGTCTTTCCGTATTCGTGTGCCGGAAACAATCAAACGAAAAAAAAAAAGAGCGAGTGGTTCAGATATAAGTAAATAGATAGATGTAGAAACATATATTCATAAATATTTATATATAGATAGAAAGATAGACAATACAAAGAACAGAGCTCCTATATATTGTCATGGTCAGTATTGACTGACAGTTTAACGTAAAGAGAGAGAGAAACGTAAAAAAAAAAAAAAAAAA